AAGCGGTGCTGGTGCTTATGCTGAAGTTATTTTCTCAGTTGGTCTCAAAGCACAGGAGCAACCCCTTTCTCACCTCACCAGTGTGTAGCCATGGCCACATCACCACATCAAAAAATGCCAGGTATATCAAACAGGGCTGGGCTGGGTTAGCTTTGCTCAGCCAAGCACAGAGAACCTCAGAGCTGGCAAAGGGAGGAAACGGGAGTACAGCAAGAAGGAGAAAGGGCAATGGGACAGGACAGCACCATCAGCTTGGCTCTGCCAGAGAGGAAACCTTCCCTGGAGTGTGTCTATGTCCTGCAAGCACCTGCATTATCCATATCTGTAAAAAAATGGATCCAAAGGACACGGCAGGACTGCTAAAATGAAACAGCTCTGAGTGCAGACAAGGCTGACATAACGTGGGCCGCAGAAAGGAGAGGTCAAAAGTTTCACTACCAGTCATAGCCATGGTGCTGTCACTGTGCATTAATTCCCCACAGCCAGGTGATTCCCTCCATCTGCTCTGCACCTCATGCCATCCTTCTGGCACGCAGGCACAACGCAGCAGGATGAGCTGCTGCATCCATATGGCTCAGAGCAGGCAGCACCACCTGCAGATTTGTTTGCATTTGCTCCCAAAAGCCATGTTTCTCTGCTGGCATTGCACCAGGACACACTGCTCCCAGCCCAAATTCCAGTGCCAGCACAGGCACAATGCTTTGTTTTCCAGAGGCCAGGTGGGGAGCTCGGGCATCACTGCCCATCCCCACTGCATATGGCTCTGGGGCTACCATGGCATGCCCTGAAGGGATGGGTTTGCTCTTCAGGAAACTCACCTTTGCCTAATGAAAGAGTAACCCTTCATCTAAACAACTTTCTCGGGTTGCTGGTGTTAATTTCTGCCCCGAGATGTGCAGGGTGTCTCTGCTTTGGCCCGCGCAACTGAAGAACGAGTCTGGACTCTTCACTTTTCAGTCTTGAGGTTGTTTATTAATTCTTATCTATAAAATTTTCTTTCTGCCCAGCCGAGATCTGCTCAGCAGGGCAGCCACAGGTACTCTGTGTTGTCCTTATATACTACAAACTATGTATATAATATTTACACTTAATTCCCAATACCCATCACCTATGTTAGACAGTGCACTTCTACTCTAAACCAATCCCAAAGTGCCACCATCACTGTAGAAAATGGAGAACAAGAAGAAGAAGAAGAAAGGCTGGACATGCCCAAATTCCTCCATCTTGTCCCCATAACCCCCAAACCAAAAATCCTAAAATCTACATTTTCACCCTGTGGTTATTTCGTCATTACACCATTCAAAGCTGTGTGACTTTCACGTCCTCATACAAAGTTGGTAACTCGCTCCAGGGGTAAAAATCAAATCCCCAGGTGTTCTGGGCAGCGTGCCAGGGTCTCTGAGCCCCCAGCGGGGTCCTGGGCAACTCTGGACACCCAGAGGGAAGCACTGAGTTCCAACAAACTTAAGCTGGTAGAGAAGGTTGCATGAATTCTTTCATGAAGTTTAAATCTCTCTCCCTCCAGTCTAGTCCCAAGCAAGTTCCAGTTTCAACCTCCATGTAGGCAAACAGGAGCAACCCAACCAGATGATGACACAGTCCCCACCCAGATTGTCTTTCTTTAACAAAGGAAGGTGAGTGTGGGAACCCAGGAAATTCCTCTGGCTGCCCTGGAGGACTTGAGCCCCTGCCCAGGGGGCTCAGAGACCTTGGCACAGAGCCCAGGACCCCCGTGCCTTTGATTTAGCCCTTGGAAAAAACAATTACCAACGTCATATGAAGAATTACAACCCACCAAAGTTTAAGTAGAATGATAGCGAATTTATCATGGGGTGAAAAAATAGATTTTTGGGGCTTTTAGAATGGAGGTTCAGGGGGCAAGATGGAGGGATCTGGCCATGTCCAGCCTTTCTCCTTCTTGGCCTCCATCTTCTGCTGTGATGTTGGCACTTTCAGATTGGTTTAGAGTAGAAGCTCACTGTCTAACGTAGGTGATAGGCATTGGGAAGTTATTGTAAATAATAGATTTTTGGCATTTTTAGAATGGAGGTTCAGGGGGCAAGATGGAGGAATCTGACTGTGTCCAGCCTTTCTTCTTCTTCCTCTTAGCCTCCATCTTCTGCTGTGATGTTGGCACTTTTAGACTGGTTTAGAGTAGAAGCTCGCTGTCTAACATTGGTGATAGGTATTGGGAAGTTATTGTAAAAAACAGATTTTTGGGGCTTTTAGAATGGGGGTTCAGGAGGCAAGATGCAGGAATTGGGGCATGTCCAGCCTTTCACCTTCTTCTTGGCCTCCATCTTCTGCTGTGATGTTGGCCCTTTTAGATTGGTTTAGAGTGGAAGCTCGCTGTCTAACATTGGTGATAGGTATTGGAAAGTTATGGTAAATGTAGTTTTTAGTATAAAAAGACAGCACCACCTCTGAGGTGGGCAGAGTGGCTCTGACTGTCCTGCTGAGAGGACCTCGGCGAGACAGGAGAAAGAATTTTATAGATAAGGAACAATAAACAACGCCGAGACCGAGAACTGAAGAGTTCTGACTCCTTTGACCGCCGGGCTGGGAAAAGAGACTTTCTAACGCATCTCAGGGTCACTGACCAGCAGAGATCCCGAGAGGTGAGCAGGGTGGGAGCAGGTTTGTGCTCACAGTCCGTGCTCTGGGGTGGCAGCTGTCACTGCTGTCCCCTCTGGGAACGGGCACAGGCAGGGACGGGCACAGGCAGCGCTCCGTGCGTCACGCGGAGGGACAGGGCCCAGCGTGACTCAGCCCTGAGCTGGGCCACCCCGGCCATGCTGGGATACCCATAACCACGGGGATACTAAAAGGAGAGAAGGGGAAGGTCTGACAGGGGGTTATGTGACTAGGGACACTCAGGTTTAGGTTTCTTCTTGGAAGCACTCCGAAACGCAGCCACCGCCAAGGGAGCAGCTACATAACCAGCACTGAGAGGATAAACATTCCTTAGGGACAAAATGAGGGGGAAATGGTGTAAATGGCTGCAAATGCCTTTGGTTTTAATGGCCTTCATCTATTTGCTGCCCAAATGGATTTGATTCATTGAGTCAAGCTGGAAGAGTGAGGGGATTTTAGGGAGGCAGAATTTAATGGCTGAGAGTGCAATTTTAGGCCAAGGTGCTCCTCTCATGAGAAGAGCCCCCAAATGTTTAACAGAGGTTCCCATTGAAGGATAGACCCTGCTGGAGGGGCTGGTGCTACTGCCACTCACTAGGATGCTTGGGAGAAACATGGTCAACTGAAAATCCCTTTGCTGGCTCTCAGCTTTGAGAGTTAGAGGAACTAAGATGAAAGATGGAGAAAATAGTCATTAAGGCATGCCCTAGCATTAGCAGCAATAACTCACAGGCTCTAGCTGAGGATATCAGGGCGGTTTGCCAGCACCACCACAAGGCAGGGGGGTGCTGCTACCCACACTGGGAAGTCAGGCACTTGTGAGTTCCACTGACTCACCTAAAGTCCTTCTGCAAGGGAAAATCAAACTGCAGGGACACTTGGGACGTGGGAGGCAATGGGGGAGGCAGCACCGCTGTCACAGATGCGGTGCTGAACCAGCACTCAGCACATCTCCAGTGCTTTCTCCACAACCTCTGCTTTCTCCACATGAGGAAACCCTTCCAATGTTTGCTCCGGGGCAGCCTGGCCACAGTAGCAAGAGGAAATTGGCCATCAGGCAGCGCTTGCGTTGCATCACGGACCTACAGGAGGTCAATAGAAGCTCCTTCTCCTCACCCCACACAGTGCTGAGGGCTGCTAGGTTGACACACCACGGGAGGAAGAGGAGGATGAGGAGGGTAAGGAACCAACGTTCCTTTCACTGCTGTGAATTCAAGCATCTCACACTTGCATCCCATTGATTCTCAGTACAACTTAATGTCTAAGGGGTTTAGATGACTTGAAAAGCCCGGTGCCTAAATAACAGAGATACTTTTAAACATTACAAAGGATCTCCTGAAGTCTCTTCCACCTCAAAATTTTCCTACAATCCTGATAAACGCAGTTTACTCTCAGCTCTGCCACAGCTCTGACTGTGAACTGCACCTCTCCATCCCTCCCTCCCACTATGTCTGCCCTGGCCCTGATTCCCCAAAGGCTGAGGTGAGGGGAATTGAGGGGTTTTGGGGCGCCAGCAGAAGGCAGCCCAAAGCTGGCAGCAGTAACCCACGAGTGCAGGCTCCCTTGTTAGCCCTGTGAAAAACAGGGCAGGCTGTTGCTGCGGAATAATTCTTCCTAGCGGGTCCGAGTCGGCGGCGGGGCAGCGACCGGAGGATTCCGCGAGCGGCGGGAGGGATGTGGGGATGCGTGTGCGAGGAACGCCGGAGCTGCCCCAGCTCCCCATCCCGCCGGGTGCCCGCGGTGCTCCCGGGCACATTCAGGAAGGCGACGTGAAGTCAGGCACCCCGTGCCTCGCAGATGAGGGTCTTGATGCGGAAAACCAGTGATACGGGAGGAGAAGCGGAATGAAGCGGGTTGGAAACCAAAGCAAATCCCAGATTTCCCTGGGGAAGCGAGGCAGGGGGCTGGGGGAGAAGCGCACACGGTGGGTCGCGGCGAGTCTCCGGGGGGCAGGATTTCTCTTCCATCGCATGGAAGAGCGAGATTAAAGAAGAAAGTGGGAGTGGGGTGGGAGGGGAGGGAAGGGAAGGGGGGGTAGGGGGGGATGAACAAAGGAGATTGGCAGCACAGCTGTTTTGGGAAGAAAAAAAAAAAAAAAAAAAAAAGGCCAGCCTTCCTGTTTCTTTAAAGCCGCTCATCTGCGCGGCGGCCGGCGGCGGGAGGCAGGCGGGCTGTGCGGGAGCTGCGCGGAGCTCGGAGGAACGCACGGACGGACGGAGCTCCGCTGCCCGCCGCGGCCCTGCGCGGCGGGCGCAGATGGGCGGCAGCAGCGGCAGCAGCAGCGGCAGCAGCAGCGGCGGCATCGGGAGCGGCGCAGCAGCGGCGGAGCGGCCGCGGCTGAGCTTCGCCGCGCAGCGCCCCGCGCCATGCGGAGCGCGCCGCTGGCCGAGGGCGAGCCCTGGCCGCGCCTGTGCCCCGCCGAGCTCGGCGGGCTGCGGCGGCTGCGGCGCAAGCACGGCGGCTGCAAAAGTTTCCGCGTGGAGCTCAAAGTGCTGAGCGGGCGGCGGACCGCGCTCCGCGCCCCCCCCGCGATGCCGCCCCCCGCCGCCGCCGCCGCCGCCGCCGCGCCGCCCGCCTGGGAGCCGCGCAGCGCCGCGCTCGGCCCCGCCGCCGCCGGCAGCGCCTTCCCCGCCGCCCCGCCGCCGCCGCCCGCCGCTTCCCCGCGCCCGCGGCCGGGAGAGGCGTCCGGCGTCTCGCCCGAGATCAAAGCGCTGCAGCAGACGCGGCGGCTGCTGGCCAACGCCCGGGAGAGGACCCGCGTCCACACCATCAGCGCCGCCTTCGAGGCGCTGCGCAAGCAGGTACCTGCCGCCGCCCGGGCACCGCTCCGCCCGGCCCCGCGGGGGCACCGCGCCGCGCTCCGCCTGCCCGGCCCGGGCTCTGCCCGCCGGGACCCGCGGGGTGCCCGGGGAGCGCCCGCGCTGCCCCGGGGCCAGGGGAGGTGAAGGGCCGGAGCCGAGTGGCCGCCTGACAGGAGGGGAAGTCGGTTCAAAATGCCTGGAAGTACCAACCCTAGAACTGTGCTAACGCTCAAGATAAATAAATAAGGGCTTTTAATTTGCTTGCAGTTAGAAAGTTTTGGACTTTTTTTTTTTTCTCTCTCCCGGAGGGGGAGTGGTGTAGACAGCGAAAAATAAAACAAACCCGATAAATCCCTCCCGAGGGAGAACAGAGTTTGTAGAGAGGCGCTTGGTCAAGCTGGGAGCTGGGGTGATGCTCCTGTACCTAGAGCACGTGTAGTTGCCAGCTGTGCAGCTGCGGTGAGCTGCCCCAAAGGGATCACCGGGAATTTGGGCAGCACCGTGCTCCTGTTGACGTTGATCCCTCAGAGCCCCTGGGGTTCTTGCAGCAGCCTCTGAAGCGTTCTATGTGCCCTGTGTGCCAGGGATAGCCAAGCTGAGCTGTGGTCCTCCACCAGTTAGCTTCCCATGGCTTTTACTGTAGGCTGTGTTTGAAGTGTGTCTTGTGCTGAGCTTTCTTGCTGAGAGGATTTGAAAATCCTCATGGTTGGCTGTAAAGGATATGTTCACAGTGTCAGGGTGGCACTTTTGAAAGGTAAATGAAAGGTTTTGGTCAAAATCCTTCCATTTGGTCAAAATCCTCCATTACCTGCCCCGGATGAGGAGAGATGCATGGAAGCCACAAGGCTCTTGTATGTTCTGCACAAGGATAAATCGGTGTCCTGGCCCCTGTACTCAGCCTTCTGTGCATGCAGGCAGCGTGTAAAGTGCAGTGATAGACAGAGATGTGCTGTCACATTGGGCAAGCCCAGCTGTGCTGGCTTTTCTGCCTTTCTGTTAAACGTTGATGGGACTGTTCCAGGTGTGCAGGAAGGAGGAGATGCACAGGGCTCAGGGTGGTAAGCTGCAGATGAGGCTGTGAGAAGTGTTAAGCATCACCTCTCCCAGGATGGTCCCTCCAGCTGGTGGGAGCAGCGTGCTCTGCTTGCAGGGGAGCTCACGCACACAGGCTTTTCCCTACCATCTTCTGGACATTACTAATCTGAGCCATTCCCCAAGTGTGCTCACTTTAGGACTCAATCTGCTGCCCTGCTTAAAGAAAATCTGCTTGTTCCTCTCTTCAGCATGCTGCCTGGAGCCCTTCTCAATGGCTGCTGTCTCCTGGGTGGTTGCACCCCAAGAGTTAATCCTTTCCCGTCATCTACTTTGGCAAACAGATTTCAGGGGCTGAGACCAGGGCTGTGTGTCAGGAGAGAATTGCTGGTGAACAACTAAACTAGAGCATTTCTGATCAGTGTGCAGTGATGGGATCTCACTGCTCCTGTTATAATCCCGGTAATCCAGTGTGTGCTGGGTGCTGTCCCCCGGTGCTGAGAGGTCGCCCCTTGTCTGTGCAAACTCCAGACTTGATATATTTTGTTCCTGTGAGCTGCTTCCATATTTCAGTTGTTTGGTGACTGCGTGTAACACGCCTGGAAGTGTCAGTCTGATTCTCCATGGATAGACATCTACACCACCAAAACCGCAAGGGGAAGTAGCACTGATTTCCCAAATCACTGGCAATCTTGTTCTAGGCTGAGCCTCAAGCACAAGTCAGGCAGGCAACAAATTAAAGCTGCACTCTTTTGGGAAATGGGCAACTCTTGAAAAGCCTCAGATTCCTGGCCTTGGCCCTGTCTCTATAAATCTCTTCAGCCATGGACTCAGCTGGGAGCCCAGGGAGCCTGGAGAACAAGCTGCCGTCCTCTCCTCCCGTGAAAGCCGCTCTCTAGGGTCAGCACAGGAGCGAACTGGCCGAGCTGTGCTCGCTCTGCAGAGAGAAAGAAATCATTCTCTGGGACATGTTTGCCACGAGGTTTTCCTAGCAGTTTGCTGAGGGGTGGGCTGGCTGTCCCGACCATCATTGGATGACATTTGTATTCATTTCTTGTTGGGCTGCCAGCGGCGCGCCGGGTGCCGTCGGTGACATCAGGTGACAGCCAGCTTCATTGCACACACGCACGGCGCCGCTGCCTTGGCACTCGCGTCATCCGTGACGGCAGAGGGGATTCTGGGGGGCTGCTCACATCGGGGGACAGGAGGGTCCTTTCTGTCACACCTTGGCCAGCGGGTGGGACGCAGGGTGTGGAGGTGCCCTGGTGGAGGTACACGCAGTAGGGAGGCTTTCTCAGGGCAGCACCGCCTTCCCACAGGCCAGGGCATGCCAAGGGCCTTCAGTCCCTTGAGAGAGTCAATCCCTGCGTGCTGTCTGCTGCAGGCCTCCCCTCTTGTTCCTTGGTTAGTCCTCCGTCCCCTCCTTGTCATCACATATCAGGCTCTTAAGCAGCTGGGAGGCTTTTCCTGAGGCGCTGAAAGTGATCCGTCCCTGCAGACAGGAGGGCGAGGAGCAGGGGATTGTGCCGTGCCTGCACACGGCCCACCCTGGCCCCACGCTCCTTTGGCTGCGGGTCAGGTGCTGCCTGTGCAGCTGCTGGCAGCAGGAGCCTTCCTCAGCCACCGGTACCCAACGCCCACAGGTGCCATCCGTGTCCCTGCTGGGTGCACGAGTGGAGATAGCCATCCTCACTGGCACACGTGGGATAAAACCCCAGTGCTGCAGGATCAGACCCACCACGGCCACGCCGTAGGGAGCCCATCCGTGCTTGCTGAGGAGGAGGAGGAGCAGGAAAGGGAAGTCATGGCTCTCTGCAGGACACTCTCCCTGTCTGAGCGGCCCACCCGAGGGCAGGCGCCTGGCACACAGCAAGCGCAGCGCACAGATGGGCTGACGGCGGCGTCCCGGCGCTCCACAGCTGCCTGCATATGGCACACGTGTTTTGGCTCGTGCTGGCTGACTCTCCAGATGGCAGGAAGGGGTGTGGGTGCTTTTTTTTCCTCCCAGTTCTTGGTGGAGGAAGAGCCAAACGCAGTTGTTTCACACAAGGCGAGGCTAACCCAGAACCCAGCCATGTCCCTGAGGACTGAGCTGTCCCCAGCTTGCCTCGGAGGCCAGGGCCCCTCAGAGGTGGGAGGCAGGCGGGCAGCTGCCAGCTCTGGGAAGCTGCCTGCTGTTGGGAGAGACGTGTCCTTGCCATTGTGTTCACCCTTGGTGTCACAGCCACCAGGAACGAGGATTTCTCTCCCTCTCTGTGTTGAGCTGCTGTACACCCTGCTGCCTATGCCATACAGCCACAGCACTGAAGTTGGACTGAAGAGCAGATGCTCCTGAGAAACAGCTTCTTCCCCCTGGTCTTGGTATTTGTGGTCTTCAGCTATTAAGTCTGGAAGAGATTTCTCCCCCTTAGTCCCCCAAGTATCATTTGTCCAAGTGATCTTTCCACTGACAGCAGGCTCCTGAGGCAAACTGGAGTTCTCCTTGGAAAACACTGACCTGCTCTGAGGCACTTGGAGGTGGTGAGATACTTCTGCTGTACTTGGCTGTCCCTCTGCTGCTGCCTTTCTGGTGTCCCTGTGACTGGGCAGCTCCTGTCCCTGTGACTGGGCAGCTCCTGTCCCTGTGACTGGGCAGCTCCTGTCTGCAGCGCTGCTCTCCTGCGCCCAAATGCCCTGGCAGGTGCTGGTCAGTGAGTTCTTGCCCTGCCCTGGCTGCTGCAGGACCCTCTGCATGTGACATGGGGGGTTGTCACTTCCATCCTTTTCATGTTCCTCTCCCTGCCACGGTGGGTGGTCAGAAACCCAAACATCTCTGATGCAGACAGAGACAGCACTGAGTTCACAGGGACCTGGGGTCACCTTGTCCTCCATGTGAAGATTCCTACCCATCTTTTTCATGTTCAAATTCATGGAGTGGTGCAACTGTCTGGAGGAGACAAGATGTGACAACAACATTGCCTATCTTCAAAGCAACTGTTGTCCATGCAGAGCAATTCTGTCTCTTTTTTCTGTCTGCAAATTCCTATTGGCAGCAGGAGACTCATCCTCCAGCAAGTCCCATCTGTGAAACTGAGCCACTGTAATTTTTATTGCAGTATGGCCTTAGCCACCAGGTTTGCTGCTGGAAGCCCTGGCCAGAAGGGAATTGTGCTGTTCACCATGAGAGTGCATGGACAGCCAAGCAAACCAGTATGTTGCACTCCCAGGAGCTGGGACTGAGCTCCTCAGCTGTGCTGACAGACCCTAAGGTGGCAGCAAACTCTCCCTGGATGGATGGAGACGACCAGAGCAGCCTTCCTGATGTGGAGCCTGCCTGGGCTTGCACATCTGGTTTGTCTCTGGAGCGCTGCTGTCCAGCTCCTCCTGAGGAGAGTGATGCACGGAGCCACAGCGAGCTGGAGTCTGTGCCGGGAGCAAACGTGTCCACAGACATTTATCTTCCCCTGAAGTGCTCCGGCCTTTGCCTCAATCTTTTCACCACCACGTTGCCAGGACATTCTCTGCCTCAGCAGCTGACAGCCTCGCTCGCTGCACTCGGGTGGGTTCTGGAGATGCTTTAGGGTTTTATAGGGCTTTTTAGCTGCTGGAATGGAGGTTTTCCCCCCACACAGGGTTTTCCCTTTCACTCTATGCCTCGGGCATGCACATGGCTGCTGTGGCTTGCTGTTAAATCAGTGCAGAAAAGTCCCTGCTCCTTCCCATGGTGGGACATCAGGAGCAGAAGCCTCAAGGCTGCAGGAGGAGATTTTGTGGCTGTGGGCACAAACTGTCTGCAGGGGTTTGAAGGGACAAACCAGGCAGTAAATGGAGGAGCTGTGGCTTGAGCCACGAGCCAGCAGAGGCTGAGGCTGCTCTGTGGGTGCATCATTCCGTGCTCACCCTCTCTGTGTGCCATCCCAGGGGTGGCTGTGGTTTGTCACCTCTGCAGGCGGGACCCTGCATGTGACCAGTGTCACTGACGTGTCCTG